TTGAATGTAGTGGCGGCGATGAGTACAAGAAAGAAACTGGTTATATGTGGAGTTTAACACATGTGTAACTAGTGGCAGGACAGGTTGTTGAATGTAGTGGGCTGATGAGTACAAGAAAAGAAACTGGTTATATGTGGAGTTTAACACATGTGTAACTAGTGGCAGGACAGGTTGTTGAATGTAGTGGCGGCGATGAGTACAAGAAAGAAACTGGTTATATGTGGAGTTTAACACATGTGTAACTAGTGGCAGGACAGGTTGTTGAATGTAGTGGCTGGCGATGAGTACAAGAAAGAAACTGGTTATATGTGGAGTTTAACACATGTGTAACTAGTGGCAGGACAGGTTGTTGAATGTAGTGGCGGCGATGAGTACAAGAAAGAAACTGGTTATATGTGGAGTTTAACACATGTGTAACTAGTGGCAGGACAGGTTGTTGAATGTAGTGGCGGCGATGAGTACAAGAAAGAAACTGGTTATATGTGGAGTTTAACACATGTGTAACTAGTGGCAGGACAGGTTGTTGAATGTAGTGGCGGCTGATGAGTACAAGAAAGAAACTGGTTATATGTGGAGTTTAACACATGTGTAACTAGTGGCAGGACAGGTTGTTGTTGAATGTAGTGGTGGCGATGAGTACAAGAAAGAAACTGGTTATATGTGGAGTTTAACACATGTGTAACTAGTGGCAGGACAGGTTGTTGAATGTAGTGGCGGCGATGAGTACAAGAAAGAAACTGGTTATATGTGGAGTTTAACACATGTGTAACTAGTGGCAGGACAGGTTGTTGAATGTAGTGGGCGGTGATGAGTACAAGAAAGAAACTGGTTATATGTGGAGTTTAACACATGTGTAACTAGTGGCAGGACAGGTTGTTGAATGTAGTAGTGGTGGAGTATGAGTACAAGAAAGAAACTGGTTATATGTGGAGTTTAACACATGTGTAACTAGTGGCAGGACAGGTTGTTGAATGTAGTGGCGGCGATGAGTACAAGAAAGAAACTGGTTATATGTGGAGTTTAACACATGTGTAACTAGTGGCAGGACAGGTTGTTGAATGTATGTAGTGGTGATGAGTACAAGAAAGAAACTGGTTATATGTGGAGTTTAACACATGTGTAACTAGTGGCAGGACAGGTTGTTGAATGTAGTGGCGGTGATGAGTACAAGAAAGAAACTGGTTATATGTGGAGTTTAACACATGTGTAACTAGTGGCAGGACAGGTTGTTGAATGTAGTGGTGGTGGCGATGAGTACAAAAAAAACTGGTTATATGTGGAGTTTAACACATGTGTAACTAGTGGCAGGACAGGTTGTTGAATGTAGTGGCGGCGATGAGTACAAGAAAGAAACTGGTTATATGTGGAGTTTAACACATGTGTAACTAGTGGCAGGACAGGTTGTTGAATGTAGTGGCAGGGATGAGTACAAGAAATAAACAAAGTGTATATGATTCTTTGGTGGTTGTTTAGAATGAATTTAACAATATCAGCACTAATGGATCCATGGAATGTATATTCTGCCTCTTTGGTTGACTCACTTCTTGTCAACTTTCAGAAATAACCAACTGTTCAGTTTGACACCTCAATACTACATCCTAGTATCCAACTGTACAACATTTCAAATGGGTTGATCTGCTTGCTGAACATTTTGTTCTTGACTTTACCCTTGGGTGTGACAGGTTCTTCAACTCTTGAAGTTCCAGTTGCTGAATTTACAGATATATTGTCTCGCAGAAACAGCTTCCTGTTCTCAATACATAATGCCTTGTAGAAACTGCTGAAATGTAATATATGTTATATTTGGGATTGATTTTATTGGTCAAGTATAGATTGTAGCACTTTTTGGGTGGTTGAGTCTTATCTGGGCATTGAACTCACCCACCCACAACCAGCAACCAAGGCCCCACAACTACTTGCAGGGCTACAGATAAGGGGCGTACAGGCGTAGTGTATGCCTCAAAATCAATTAAGTACGACAAAATACAAGATTTCAAGCGTATCGGGTACGCACATAAATACCTTTGTACATCTAACATTTAATTTCCGTGCGTATCGTGCAAATGGAAATCTATTTCGGATAAATACTTGTCAAGTTTCTTTTGCGAAACACGATTTGACACATGAGGAAACCCCGACAGTCGGAATCACTTGCGTTGCCATGCAACGATATGCGTCAATATTTTTCGATTGGCTAAAAACTACACTGTTCCTATTTATATCCAGTCGGACCTGACATTTCGCGCATCACACGGTCGCTCAGTTATTTCTCACGCATCTTTAAATACAAACACATGGTTGGAAATAGTGATCGATGAATCATCCAGACAAACCACATCACCATCTCGCTCACACAAAAACATGTCAGTACTCCTTCAAAATTCTCAGTACACCTCCACTTGCAATATGATGTGTAAGTACACTCACACCCCGAAAAGTTATCTGGAGCCCTGTACTTGTCTTGTCTGAAATTGGCATGGGTCCCATGGCCAAAGGCTATGAATATGAATGCCACTTAGAAAGTGGTCTAATGTAACAAATGTTATATTTTTTCCTCAATCCCAAAAGTACCAGGTTTTGAAGTTTAGTAAGAAAGTGTAATCCCAAAATATAACATATGTTACAAGTAGCCAAGTAGTAGGATAATTTCAGAATTTTTCGCACTTGTGACAGCTTTCAGTAATGTTAATACAGAGTCATACTGAATTTTGTCTTATAGTCTAAGGTCTTGGATTCTATCAGATCAGTCTTTAATAATCATCATGAAATGTACCATACTTATAATTCTTTAAGAGAAAAGAGGCATCTGGTAAACCTGTGAACTGGTCTCTATATACATGCTGGTTAAAATTAGTTTGGTCAGATAAGATATACTGACGAATGAAAAAGGACTGATAAAACTTCTTTTTTTTTGAGAAGACAAAGATGTATCCACTCATTCAACATTTAAATTAACCTTATTGTAGCTGTGCACCAGTGTTGATGATGTCAAGTGCTTGCTCTCAGCACCTTGCCAGTGACAGCTAATCACAACCAATCACTCTGTACATCAACCTACTCTGCTCAAATCACAAGTTAGATATCCAATGTACATCAACCTTGTCAATTGTATATACTTACTATGCAGCTATGTATATATTCTCCTTGTTTCAACTCTTTGTATCACTTGCTTGATAACGGTGTTAGTACCTATACTGAAATGTTGCACTCATTGCAATAAAGAAACTGACTATCCATAGAACTTGGTTTTCTTTCATCTTCACAACTTTTTAAATGCCTCTCAAAGAAGATAGTAAAAGTTACACAAACTGTTCATAAATATGGAGGTTTCAAGTAAGATGTAGAAATTATGTAAATCTAAAACATCAGGAATACTGTAAATCAGGAAATTAATGCATCACAAATTTAATGCGAGTGCAAGGGTCTAGTCTACAAGAGTCATCAGAAGATGACATATCCCCCTGGACCCCACATCTTTGAAAGAACAAATCATCTGACAGTTACTTAAAGTCCAGCTTGATTTTAGACTAAGTGCAAATCGTTTCCATGGAAATCATGAAAAAAATAAATGACAAAAATCTGCAAATAGCAAAAGGCACCACTTAAGGTTCTGTTTGATAAATCTACCAAGTTTTGTTGAAATATATTGAACGATTCTTGAGTAATGCTCCGGAAACGAAGCCCACCCTCCCTTTTGGGATTAAGTCAGAATCGTTTCCATGGAAACCGGGAAAAATAAAAATGCCCAAAATCTGCAAATAGCAAAAGGCACCACTTAAGGTTCTGTTTGATATATCTACCAAGTTTTGTTGAAATATATTGAACGGTTCTTGCGATGTGCTCCGGAAACGAGAGCAATCCTTACTTTTTGAGACTAAGTCCAAAATGTTCCCATGGAAACCAAGAAAAATAAAAATGCCAAAAATCTGTAAATAGCAAAAGGCACAACTTTAGGATCTGTTTGATATATCTACCAAGTTTTGTTGAAAAATATCGAACGGTCTTTGAGTTATGCTCCGGAAACAAAATGATTACGGACGGACAGACAGACAGACAAGGCAACGTATCTATATCCCACCGAAAAATATTGAACGGTTCTTGAGTTATGCTCCGGAAACGAAGCCCACCCTTCTTTAAGACTAAGTCCAAAACGTTTCCATGGAAACCGAGAAAAATAAAAATGACAATAATCTGTAAATAGCAAAAGGCACCACCTTAGGTTATGTTTGACATATGTACCAAGTTTTGTTGAAAAATATCGAACGGTCTTTGAGTTATGCTCCGGAAACAAAATGATTACGGACGGACAGACAGACAGACAAGGCAACGTATCTATATCCCACCGCATTACATGCTGGTGAGATAAAAATGCATCTCGAAATTAATGCGAGCTCAGGAATCCGATGATAAAATGTGACACCCTGAATCTTTGATGGTGTTCATTTTCTTTTACACTTGTTATTTACCAAATAACCTGAACTGAAGTTGTTAAGCAATGAATGAAAATGAGCTGACAATGTTTTGATTACGCTGCCATGTTTGGTCACGTGATTGCTTGCTAGTACTTGTCTTATGACAACATTTATAAACGTAATCTGACTGAAATGATCCTGCGTGGTTGGAGAATGTCCGGTCTGGCTGATGTGCTTGAGTGACTTTAAACAATGACAAGAGATTGTATCCAGTGATAATTACATGTGACTTGAGATACCTGCAATGAGGAAGTGACCTGTATTGGTGTAATGTGTAGTGTCAACACTTTTGCTATTGTTACATAATTTGCCGATGAATAAATTAAATGGATAACAATTAGTGTCATGGAAATAAGTGCTTATTTATCAATTAATTTTATGAGAAATGTCTAAATTGTTGTTATATTCTGTAGACCGACAAGAGATTGACGTTTTTGTCTTAAATTTGGTTCTCAAAAGTAGACATGTTCAGACTAAAATGCGTCATTATAATAATGCGAAAAGAGTACAGACGCATTTTCCGCATTAATAAAATGCTCGCATAAATTTCATGATTTACAGTATGTGGAAGGTTCAAGGACATAGCAGGTATTGTGATCAAAATAAACATAAGTTTGATATTTGAGAAATGAGTGAAAGTTGGACTTTCAAAGTGTCAAATGTGGCACAGAAATTTCAACTATAATAATCACCATAATTTTCTATGTAGGCTCTATTTGGGAATAAAGAGTGAAGAATGGGACAAAAATACCCAAATAACCCCACAGAGTAAATATCTTCAACTTTGTATTTGAAAAGAATTTTAAAAATACAAACCTGTTTAGAAATATAGAGTTGACATCTTCATGTGATATGGGAGGTTTCTTTGAACTTGCAGCCATTCTTAATGGTCTCAGAAAACAAGTGACAAGGCAAGAAAGTTGGCGGTTATACTCTTCTTCACACTCTACCATACTGAAAACTATACTGTTGCGTTTCCGCATGCTCTCTGCATGAGGGGATCGGATATACAGCTCCACAATCTGCTTCCAGCGACGTCGACAGAGCCATCCACGAAAAAAACTTTGAACCTGCAACAATACATTCATAGATCTTCTTATGTATTGACTTTAACATAGTTTGGTGTAATTTACTTTGATGAATCAATAACTCATATCGGGTCATGGACATTCCTTATATCAGGAAAGCTTTTATCTACATGTTCTACCTTATGCTTGTGCTTGGGATTCTTTTTCAATCACATTATCAAATGCCTTACACTGATGTGTTACTTCTCTGCATAAATATCTGAAGACAGTTCTACAGAAATCTTCATGAAGTGCATCCTGATCAAACTTTGACCAACAAAACTGTATCCATGATGTGTGGATTCTTGAGTCAATTAGATGTAATGAATCTAAAATGTGTAGGCTTTTTGTAAAACCACTTTCATTTGGATATTAGCAAATGAAAACAATATACCCAATATCTCATGCAGCTTTGGGTGTAGATTCCATGGTGCCATTCCAATAACCGATCTTAGCCCTATGCCAGCGTAAACCCTACAATGACGTTACGATCAGCATACCATTCCACTAACCGATCTTACCCAAGTCAATTGTAAAGTTAAGAGCCAAAGTCTAAGTTGCTCATGACCAACTTAGGATTGCTAAACTCAATCTTGAGAAACCAAAATGGCAGCTTTCATTATTCTATGTGAAGAAGAAGAGCGAGCATTACACTGTAAGCGTGTTTTTCGAGACCACTAACAGATTCTAGATACATTATCAGATGATGTGCTTGTGGCAAGGTACAGGATGCCTCATCATGCCTTGTTTATGCTGATCGACAAGGTTCAGCCACATATTATGCCAGATACCCAGAGTTCACATGCACTTGCCACTGAAACCAAGGTGCTCACTACCGTAAGATTTCTCAGGAAGGGTTTCTCCACGTTTACACTTGGTTCCAAACTACTTCCACCATCTGCTATACTATGCAAAGGGAGATAACTCATGCCTCACATTTTTCTATCTCTCGCATGAAAGAGTTCCAATCTTAGCTGGGATCAGATCAAAGGATCGGGACTGGCTACAATTGGTTAGTGGAACAGGCGTAACTTTTAGCTACAATGATCGTAAAATTGGCAAGACTTGCTAAGATTGATCTTGTATAAGACCCGTTAGTGGAACAGGATAATGCTGTTACGTACATTAACTTTTGCTCTTTATTTTGGAGGACTTCACTCACTTGTAAGAATTTTATTAATTTTTATCAAATTGGTTGATGAGAAAGTTCACCTAATGAAACCTGATATGGAGGTGTCCTGAGATCTTGGATCAAATATTAGACCTCGACAGTTGGAATCCAGTGACGACTTATCCTTTTCAAATTAGTTAAACTCCTTCTACTCAAGCGATTTGATACTGGAAATTTTTCAGATGAATGGAAACTTGTATTGGAATCACTTCCACCTTGTGAAATGTTAAATATATCAACAGATGATGTGATTAATAGATTTTAGAAAAGCTAAGTCAACAATAAATGCTGTAAGTATTGAAGATAATGAAATAGAAAGAGTAACTGAATACAAATATTTGGGTACTGTCTTAGATTCAAACCTCTCCTGGAACGAAAACGCTGAGAAAATATATAAGAAAGGACAACAACGCTTGCATTTTGTGTGGATGTTGAAACATTTCAAAATCGTCTATAAACTATCATGATGTTATTTTACAAAACATTTATTCAAAGTGTCATAACCTTTAATTTCTTGAGTTGGTTCGGGAACCTGTCTGTCCAGATTAAAAGCAAACTCCTATCGAAAGTATCGGCAGTTGTTATGATCAGCAAATTTCAGAAAAGGCAAACAAAATTTTAAGTGATCCTACTCATACTTTTTTCCTGCAGCTGCGTATGCCAACTTTTAGAACAACAGGGTTCGCCACTCATTTGTTCCGGCTAGTATTAGATGTATTAACAACAAACTCAATGAATGACTTGTCTTCCAACTTCTCAAATTCTAGTCAATATCAATGTTTGTGTACTAAATTGATGTACATGTATTTATATCCTGATTATTTTAACATTTGCAATGTTATATATGGCTGCTTTAAGAAAGAAAAAAACTGGAGAACTGCATATGATGCAAAACAAATTTCCCTTGGGATAATAAAGAAATTATCTTATCTTATCTTAATGCAGAAATGCATCACAACCAAGTAATCTGATCTTAATGAGATAAGATAACTTTTCATGATATATATTTACTTTAAATACACATGAAATACACATATTGATGCATAATGTACAGTACTATTTATTAGAATCTTCCAGTAGAACACAGCATGTCTCTGTAGACTATGAAATCTTACATATAACAGCTCCAGTACTCCGTGACCTATTTGGATGATGGTTTCACAGAAACAACTCTTATTTTCAAAATTGTCCTCAGTACCTTATATCTGCTACATTGCAGAATCTTGTGTCAGTTAATGCTCAGTTTGGTTGTAGTTCCCTTAAAATTTTAATCAGAAAAGGCTGACATAAGGTTATGGATAGAAAAGAAAGGATATGTAAAATGTGTCAGTAATGATGTATGAAGGTAGATATCATTTTCTTCTGATTTACCCCAAATACAAAGCTATTTCATGTTTATATATATCAATCAATAATTCTTTGTAAACCCAAATATGTGTAACTTTTAATCCATGAAAAATTCTATGTACATACATGATTTGAAAAAAAAAAAAAACCTGTAAAAAATCAAATTTTTAAAACTTATCCTATCTCACGGTTTGTACTCATGATCGACAGTTGAGTGGAAACAAACAGTAAGTTTCTGGCCTCTCTTGTACTATTCACACCCCACTGCTCCCATCCCCTGGACAGCCTGTACCCTGTGTGAAGCATGCCCTCCAGTTGACTAGTGACTCCTTAGTCTGATCATTCTCTTTCTCTTCTACGTCTGACGCCCAACCTTCATGTATAGATTGCATCAGCTTAGGTGCATTGACGTCAAGATGCAGTTTTTGTCAGGGACTGGATGACGACAACTTTGCATTTTATAAGAAGGTGGGGTCCTGACACCTTGCGGATTGGGACACCTGATATAAACCTGACGAACATGGTCTGTCTGCACCCAAGAAATCTAAAAAGACAGACCTAACAAAAGCCCGGAGATTGTCCTCTTCCCTTTTGGAGCACAAGGATTTTTTAGACATTCCATCCAATTGCTACCTTTGTGAAAATCTGTTTCACCCCACGGAAGATGCTACTTCACCGAACATCAGACCTACCATTGTGTCATTGGTGGTATTGTTTCAACATTCGCTGAGCCATGGATAACCTTTCGCGAACCCTCCAGATGTTGCGATCCCTGCTTTGCCTTCACCAGGTATCTCCAAGCATCTCTTGGCTATACATTCGATGAACCTTCAGTCTCCCCTCTACTTACATATCCCGATCCTACGAACCTCCTTCGACGAACCTTCTGTTGATCGATCATCATTCGGCAGACTTCAGCTTTTCGGCTGCTCCAATACCACTTCTGAACCAACCCTTAGGTTCGGCAAATGTTGTTGGTTTCAGATTGGGCGAACCTTCCATATTCGGGAATCTCTCACTTTTGGTGAACTATTTTCAGTGTGGAGAATCACCCCAGTTCGGCGAACCATGCCAGTTTGGAGATTTTTATCTAGTTCTGCGAGCCATGCAGTTAAGCGGTTCATTCCAATGCAGTACGGCAATCCGATCCAGTTCAACAATACGCACAGTTAAACAATCCCCTCAGATTCAACGTATCCCTTCAGCAGGCGAATACCTGAGTCACAGACCACTAGTTTGTTGCAACCAGTTCTACCTGTATCGTTTCTCCAGAAACTACAAAGAATCCAAAATTCCGCTGCCAGATGTATCACCCACACTCATCGTCATGACCATGTCACCCCAGTACTTCAGTCTCTACACTGGTTCCCCATCTCTGCAAGAATTACCTTCAAAATCCTAATTCTTACTCATGTCTGCCTCAACAACGATAAGTTTCCCAACTATCTCAAACATCTCGTCTCTGTGTATGTACCTCAGCGAAGTCTCTGATCCTCCTCTGACTCTCTCGTCACCCAACACAGATCTCCAAACCAACTGTCTAACTTCTCCATTGCCAGCCCTCAACTGTGGACTGACTGACTGACTGAGTTTGGTTTTACGCCGCTTTTAGCAATATTCCAGCAACATCACGGCGGGGGACACCAGAAATGGGCTTCACACATTGTACCCATGTGGGGATTCGAACCCGGGTCTTCGGCGTGACGAGACAACGCTTTAACCACTGGGCTACCCCACCACCCCCTCAACTGTGGAACTCCCTTGAAAGGAAATCAGGAACACTTCATCGAAAGAAACTTATAAAAATTCTGCTAAAGACCTATCTATTCACTGCTGCCTTTCTGTAAAAGTTATATGAACTATCTCCTTCCCCAATATTGTCACAGCGCCACTGAGCATCTCTATGGTCGATATTAGGCGCTATATAAATACATTATTAATTATCTTTGACAGATTAAGATGAAAGAGGGTTTGGGTGATCCTGGCACAGTCAGGCTGGTAAGGCTCATCATCAGCTCAGGGCCCTTGCCCCCTCTACACGCAGCCCAGACAGCAAATGGGACTTCTCCCAGGAAACACTGCCTAGTTGAACCCACCAAGAACTTTCCGGAGAATATGTAGGCTCCCCAACACTGCAGCCTTCTGCATTACCCAGAGTGTCAGAAGGGCTGTGCTCCCGGTGGAGAACCCAGGCACTCTCCTGATCTGCGCCAAGAGATCAGGGGGTACCAAACCAAGGGCACCAAGAACAATGGGGAGCCTGATGACAGTGTACTTGGGATGCAAGCGAGACATTACAAAGGCGAGGTCCGCATATTTATCATGCTTTTCCTGAATCTTGCCAATCACATTGCTGTCAAAAGGGACAGAGAATTCAATGATATAAATAAATTCATTGGCTTTATCAGAAAGGACAAGATCAGGTTTGTTGGTAGGAATTCTTCTGAGGCTGAACAAAAGTTTAAAAGCATCATTTTCCATGACG